ATATGTAAGAACCTGGTTGCACTACACGAACATGAGTGAATTGCAAAAGAAGTCTCTCTAGGCGTTTCAGTGAAGACTGGTGGCTTATAGTTAATTTGTAAGAGCTGGTTATGAGTTTTATAAATTTAAATTTGCTCATGGACTGATTTTAATGCACGGTTTAATTAAGCATCACCTTTAGCACTTCGGTTTTCTGCATTTGCGCTCAATTTCTTCTGTGTTGAACAGGGACACCTCACTGTAAATTCAGAAACTAATGTGGACATTAGGGTTGATAAATTTATTAGTCCTCCTGCAACCAATGCAGAAGATGGTGTCTCTCTTAATCGTTCAAGTGCCGAGAGTCAAGATGGAAAGCATGCTGAAGCTCGTACAGATGCTCTGGACAATGGTTATTTGAATCTCAAATCTTCCAGAGGGGATAAGTGGCAAAATGGGGAACTTGAACATTTTAAAGAGAATGAGAAACTGAAAGGTGACTTTGACGATGGAACACTGGAAGCTAATTTGAGAAAAACATATTTCCATAGGAATTCATCCTCCGAAAGTGGAGGAGAAAAATATAGAATGTCAGGAAGTTCTCCTTCTCATGGCAGATATAGAAGTCGATCAAGATCAATTGGTCATGCAAGAGACAGGTCTCGTTCTCGTAGTATAATAGATGAATATGTTCATTCTAAGAGAAGGCGCTCTGACTATGACAATGATGAGGAAAGAGTGAGGGCACGGGGAAGGGAGCATGGTCATGAAAGTGCGGTAGATGATAGAAGGGACTACAGTACCAGATATCACAGTCGGGAGGCCGGGGATAGAGATAGGAGTAGGGATAGAGAGTTATACAGAGAAAAGAAACCAGAGGAAACAAGCAGGGGTAAGGAGATTGAGTGGGAACGCAAAAGGGGAAAGGAACATGAAAGGAGCCGAGAGAGGTATAGAAGGGATGTAGAAAAAGATAGGAGCAGGGAAAGGGAGGACGATAGGGACTGGAGACAAGAAAAAGAAAGAGATAGGAGCTGGGAGACAGTTTTTGAGAGGGATAAGAGAAGGGAAAAGGAAAGAGATAGAACTAGGGACAGAACAAGAGATGCCAAGAGAGATAGAGACCTGGAGAATGAAAGGGATGATAAAAGTCGTGAAAGGGATGATATTAAGTTGAGGGAAAGGAGAGATGATAGATATAGGCACAAAGATAGAGACACTGCAAATGGTAAAGATAGGCGTCTGCGTCATGAAGATGGTAATGACAATGGAGATAGATATAGAAAACATTCGAGACATGAAGAAAATGAATACCATTGGGAAAGAAAAAGAAATTCTGATAATCCTGGTAAGGTTTATATATCGATGGGAAGTACTAGGGAAGTGCCTGAAAGCAAACTGACAAGGTATGTTTCATTAACTAGAAAGCTTTCTTAGAAATTTCTTGTATGTATTTTTTCTCTTTTCTATCACATTTTGTTCTTTCTTGAATAACGCACTGAATGTATATATATATATATATGTGTGTGTGTGTGTGTGTGTGTGTGTGTATTTATTTTGATGTGTATTGATTGCAGCAGTGAGGTTGAACCTGATGACTTAGAGGAGGATACATTACATTTACCTGAGCAAGAAGAGGAAGATCTCAACAGGATCAAAGAAGAGAGTAGAAGAAGAAGGGAAGCAATAATGGAGAAATACAAGAAGCAGCATCAGCAAGTAGAAGAAGCAGTTCGAAATGAAAGAAAAGGTGTTATTTTTCCCATTTCTTTCTTGATATGGGTGATGGGCTGATATTATCAGTTAACATACCTATTGTTACAAGTTATAATTCTTTATCTTTGTCTATGGTCTTCTTGTTGTCATTTTGATTTTTAAATAATTACTCGGTATCTTAAGTCTTGCCTAAGAAATTAATCTTTTGAAGGATACAAGTATGGATGAATCCTTGAAGTACACCATTGAAGGTGCATGTGACCATTATATTGAATTCTTAAATTAAAAGATTTGGAAATGAGATAAAATTAATGATATGTTAGAAAATGCTAATCATTATTCCATTTCCCCCTTGTTATATTCCTACTTGTACTACTTTTAATAACTTTGTAATGCACTCTTATTAGACACGGATGCATACATTCCAACTGAAATCTCTGAAGCACGTGATGGTAAGAATGATGATGCTGGTTATGTAGAGGCATCATTTGCTGTTGGGAAATCTCCTGAAAACGCAAATGTTGCTTCTAAGAAGATATCTCTTGCTGGAGGACTGGGAGAGGGTACTCCAAAGGTCTGCTGATATTTTTTGAAGTAAAATTACTCCATAAGTTTGAAATATGTATTTATTTTTATCTATTGGATTTTTTAATCTCATTTATTATACTTACAGAGTGAAAGGTCAGAGGACAAGTATTGCGATGATATATTTGGGGAGACTCCAACAGGAGTTCGGAAATCAGTAAGTGTTTGGTCATACTATTCTAATTTTGAAGTGCAGCAGCTGTGTCCACTTGATTACGGATGCTAGTATGTTATGATCTCATTCTGATCACGGATGAATCTAATGCAGCTGGTTTCTGTATCTTTTTCATCACATACATTCTTTGATACAAATCCCACAACCTTTCTTTGTGAAGCTAATTTGCCTTTAGGGGACTTTTTTGTTGGTTTCTTGTTTGACATAACCACACTTATTACAGTTATTGCTTTTGGAATTATGTCAGTATTTTTTTTTCCTTGTCTTGAATTGTTAAACCTTTAATTTATTTTTCTGCTCTTATATTAACTAATAAGATTTACTACCTTCTTTTTAGGGAAAAGGCGATGGTTTAATGGTTGAAAAGGTTGGCCTACATGACAATTGGGATGATGCAGAGGGTTATTACAGTAAGTAATTCGTTTGATTGTGTCCAACTGTTTTGATCATTTTGTTTTGATTCTTTAATGAGGGCTGATTGTTAGACAAAAAAAATTTGCCATGTCTTGGTCAGAAACATTATTTGTTGTTCACATAACTTGTTTATTGGTTGGCCATTGTTAACTTATCATCTTTATATTGGTTCTAACATTTTTAGTTTTTACTTAAATTATGGCATTTAAGACCCAGAGTGGTATGGTTTGACAATCACATCTTTTATACATCCTTTATATACCTGACACATTTACAGTGGATCTGATGTGTAACCTGTAAATATGATTTTGGAAAATCTGTGGGGGCCATCATATTTTTGTTGTAATTGTTGGACAAACTCATGCATTTGTTTTCCTGTTCATGATGTTATACTGTGATGTTGCCATACAGGCTATCGAATTGGTGAAATACTTGATGGCCGATATGAAGTCACTGCTGCACATGGGAGGGGTGTCTTTTCAACAGTTGTTCGGGCAAAGAATCTAAAGATGGGGAATGGTGAGCCAGAGGAAGTAGCAATAAAAATAATTCGCAATAATGACACCATGTGAGTGATGTTTGTTTCTTGGGAATCATCAGGGATCTTTTTGCCTTTGGAGTGTTTTTTTTTTGTTGCTCACTGTTCTATATTTCAATGTGCATAGGTACAAGGCTGGTATGGATGAATCAGTCATATTGAAGAAATTAGTAGGTGCAGATCCAGATGATAAGCGTCATTGTGTTCGTTTCCTTTCAAGTTTTAGATACAGGAATCATCTTTGTTTAGTTTTTGAATCTCTTAATATGAATCTGCGTGAGGTTTTAAAGAAGTTTGGTCGCAATATTGGCCTTAGGCTAACAGCTGTGAGAGCATACGCAAAACAGCTTTTTATTGCCTTGAAGCATCTCCGGAACTGTGGTGTTCTTCATTGTGATATAAAGCCTGATAATATGTTGGTATGCCTAAAATTGTGTTGTGTTTTATATTGTTATTTTTTCATAGTTTTATTTGTTAATTTCAAGTAAAAAAATCTATTGTCTAACTTTCATTTCTTCAATTATCCCTTTTGACAAGGTAAACGAGGCTAAAAATGTTTTGAAGCTTTGTGACTTTGGTAATGCCATGTTTGCTGGTAAAAATGAAGTTACACCATACCTTGTGAGTCGTTTTTATCGAGCCCCAGAAATAAGTAAGTTCCATTCATTGTATTTATGATTTCATTATCCCCAACTATTTTTTTTCTTGTTGAATGTCTGATGGTTGCCAACTGTTTGGGATTTTGAATGTTTCTATGCAGTACTTGGCTTGTCATATGATCATCCACTGGATATTTGGTCTGTAGGCTGTTGTCTGTATGAGTTATATGTAGGTAAGGTTCTTTTCCCAGGGCATACTAACAATGACATGCTACGACTTCACATGGAACTGAAAGGCCCTTTTCCAAAGAAGATGCTACGTAAGGTATACATTTATTCTTTAATTAAGTTTTTCATCATTAGTGTCCAGCCATTTTTTGATTGTTGATATGTGTATCTGTTTTGACTTTAGTTCCTAAATTGCTCTTTCCTTTTATGTCGGTGTACCTTCTATTCAATTTTTTGGTGTAAATAAATTTGTTTTGTTGTTAGTGATATCTACTTATTTTTTACTATCTTCCTTGCAGGGAGCATTTACTGAACAGCATTTTGACCAGGACCTGAATTTTCTTGCTACTGAGGAGGATCCGGTGACAAAAAAGGTAAGCTAGACTTCAAGCAGATATGTTCTTAATCTTACACCGAATGGATCTTTTGCCAAGTTTGAATAATGATGCTATAATTATTCCTTAATAGGCCATAAAGCGGCTAATTCTCAACATTAAGCCAAAAGATATTGGGACTTTAATCAATGGCTCTGCTGGGGAGGATCCGAAAATGCTAGCTAACTTTAAGGATCTTCTGGAAAAAGTTTTTGTTTTGGATCCAGACAAAAGGCTGACAGTGTCACAAGCTCTGAACCACCCATTCATCACTGGCAAGTGAACAATGTTGCTGAATTTGACTCCCAAAATGATATAAACTGATATTTGTACATAATGATCCAATTGATATTGAGGTTCTAATTTTATGTTGCACTATTTATCTTCTGTGTATGGCCAAGGAGTGTCATCACAGTTGTCTGCATGTTGAAGTGAGAAAGGGTGATGTCTCTCTACACGCCTACGCTTTACTGGTGGTTCATTCAGTGGAATGTACTGTTTCTATTGTAAGACAACTTGCCAGTGGCAGTTTCCCTTAGTGTAGCTGTATTTGTACTTCAAACACTGCTCTTCCAATTAAATTCTCAGAAAAATTTATTTTGAGAAGTTCAATTTTGTATTCTTTTGATAGACTGGTTTATTCTTTCTCCACTCTTTCTATTTTATGTAACTTGTATTATTGTCACCCTTGGTTTTCATTATTACTGTCAATTCATACCTTGGATTCTGGAGATTCTAATTTAATTTCTCATTCAGGATCCATATCACTGGTTTGAGGCATCACTTCATGCTTTGATGCTTTAAAGGAACCCTGGAGAAGGTACCTTGGCTTGTTTATTGGGAGATTAATTTCACCGTGCTGGAATGAGTTATGATTTTCATTAAAATTCATTAACAGTGCCAGTAGAATAACCACCACCTTTGACTAGGAATTTATTGCAATGAGCCTAAATTGTCATTTTTCATTCGTGAGGATAATCAATGATTGTTGGTGCTGTTTGAGAACGTATGAGCACATTAATTGTATGGTATTGTTAGCTGGGTACATGAGTTAGGTAGAGGGAATGGATAGTGTTGAACCTGCTTCCTCGTTGAGATACATGTGCTACTAGGCCATACGCGTAGTTGTTACTGCCTTTAAACTGTTTCAGTATAAATGGTGGAATCCCAAGCGTAGAATTTTCCGCATATTTCTTTTTATTCTTTTCAGTTATGACTTAATTTGATGTGCAGATATCTTATTCTTGAACTGTACTTGAGCATCTCTTTCCATGTGATGTCTTGTATTGTTTTTTTAACCTTTATTATCTTAAGTTTACCTATACACATATCCTAATGAACTTGTGTTGCATCTTATCCATGGTGGGCCATTTTGGGGGCAATTCCACAGGATGTCTTTGGCTATGTTCTTGAAGCGAATTCATTTCACGGTGAGCAATTCAAATTCAGAAATTATTGTTCTGTTAAAAGTTTGTGGTATGAAATAAAATCTAATCAAATGAATCTAATTCGTTTTTCATTATAAAATCTTTATAGGTACTGTATCGTGGTCCTGCAATTTTTGTAAGTATATTCATGTCCACTTCCATTCTCATCTGTCAGTGTTGAACGCATTGATGGTCCTTTGCATCCAGTTTCTTACAATATTCATACCGATTCTGTTTCTAAATTTTGAGGAATATCTAGTTAGCAATGGCGTTAAAACTTTCCTGCTGTGTGTTTCTTGTGTTAATATGTAGGTGGTGTTTAGGTCAGCATTTTCGTTGTTGGGCCATGTGCCTTATTTCCTTTCCTGAGTTGTTTCTTCTGATTAAACGTTGTGCTTTTGGCAACGCCCCTGTTTCATGTTGTCCTAAACACCTAATATTGTTTGCTATTGCCCAATCTTGTTCTTTGCTTGACATTCATTGACGAGCATGTTGATTTCCTGTTTTATTTATTTTAGAGAATGAAATTGAGTTTTATGTTTTAGCAGAATTCATTTCCTGTTTTAATGTAGTACGCATCCGTACTCACTCACTTCCCTCAATACATAGGTTTTGGATTATTTAAAATTTAGTGGGAGAAGATGGTTGAGTCTAGGGCTGGGATACCACCATACAGGGAACTAAAATAATTCAATATTGTTAGATTACCGTGATGGTGCTGACATGATGATATAACGTGGCATTTTCTTCCATGCTTATTCTTCATCTGTACTTCACTTCTTCAGATGTTCGTAAAATATAAACAACTACCTATTGACTACCACTTCCTATTTTTTGGGTGAAATGTATCTTAGAGTAACGTTATAGACCTATCTCAAATATTGACATACTAATGTTGATATATAACTTGGTTGTACAACTCAATGGAAACCTTTAAGGGGATTGTCCTTGGTTATGGGTAGTTTCTACCTGCTTATACAGAAAACTCTCTTTTGCTTGATATCTGTGAGCGGTTTATTCACTTAATCTCCTCCTCTTTTGCTGTGTAGCTTAATAGCATGTTCCACAAGTAAAGCATTTTTGTGAAGTATACTATAAAGAAAGCCGATCATATCGAGTAATTTGAAATGTTCATATTCTACTTACCATGGTGCTGGTTTTCTCAAGTAAGACTGATAGTTTGGAGGGAATATTGATTGTCAGCTAACAGAATTGAACATATATTAGGGGAGTTTGCTCTGCATGTTACGTGAGAAATCCTTGGAAGTGTTTAAACAGCAGAAAAACTGAAGCTAGACTGCTGCTATGCCTTAAGGCCTAGTAATCTTAAGTTATTTTAGAAGGATTCTTTCCTTGCTGGTCCAGCTCTACCAATCAGTTTCTCCACCCTATTCCCTGCTGCCACCAATCAAATCTGTTTGACTCATCCCTAGTAGTAGGCTAATCAGGCAAAAGCACCTAGTCCTCGTGCAATCCGAATACTCCGACTTTCCTCCTCTGGGAACAACTTCAGCCTCGGGTTGCAGAAGGATGTAGCTTTTATATCCTCAGTCAAGTTGACTTGTCTCGATTCCCCACATTTGATGTGTAGAACTTGTACTTGTACAGTAATGATTATTATTCGGCCTTTCCAAAAACTAGTATGGTCAGATAGGTACCCACACACAATGTACGTGAGATGGATCTAGATATGGAAATGAAAATACGATCTGGTGGAGTTTGTGGACCCATATTAAATTATTTGATCGGGAGTGGATCACGCTTGTTGTGGGGTATTAGTTTCGGTTGTTAGAAATTTAACCTTTACTGTGCGCTTTTTTTTTTTTATTGGAAAGAAGGCTATGGCCCTCAAGTTCGCACGTGGACTTGTGGTTAAACTGACCACTAAATGTGCATCTAAGTTTGAAGGCAGTATTCTTCACTTATTTTTACTCAACTTTTCAATTGTCTTTAGTTGCTCTAAATGTATATAATAATATTTAATAACAATGTTTATAGCTGTGGGGGTAATGTTTCATTGACAATTTTTTATTGATCTATTCTTGACCATGCACTCCATCAATTTCTGAATAAATTAATGTAAATATTATGGAATTTAAACCTGTTGGAAAAAAATAGTCATGAAATTAAGTTGGCATGCGTCGTAACTTTTCAAAATTATGTTAAACAATTAAATAGTCAAGCCCTTTGCTTTAAAAACAGAAAGTGAAAAGGTATAGTTCTGCACACCTCAAATTTCGATGCAGGTTTAATATCAAACAGTTAAACCCAAATGCTGATCGAAAACAGAAAAAAAAAATTACTAATATTAGTGAGATGTTGCATATATATATATATATATATATATAATGATTTTCAATTCAAAACAACTAAGAACATTGTTATCATAATTAGATGAAGAATATGGACGAGGATAACATATTCCTTTGCTTTGTTGAAGCACAAGTGTATTGGGGAATGACTGATCTACTGTCAGGTCAAATTCTGTGCATTTTAAAGTTATGGTGTGTAATCGGAAAAGAGAGATTGTCTGGATGACTGTGAGGTGGCGACTTGCTCCGTGACAGGAAACATGGATTGGTGGAATGTAAGGTGAGGAGAGAGAAGTGGGAAAAAAATGGCAAATGTGTTGGGTGGGTTCTCAACTGAAAATTTCAAATGAAGTGATAAACATGGTGGAGTAATACTACCAACTTTTTTTTTTTGGTGATTTATTTCTTGGAGTCTTGAATAGAACAATCACAAACATATATTGCTATGTTAGCCTCTGGGATTTATGGATCAACGACAACAGGTAGTTTATGGTCAGCGGAAATAAAGGCCGTCGAATTGCTAGCATGAAGTTCTATGATATTGCTGAGGATCTATGGCTCTCTATGCTACTATTTTTGAAATATCTAATAATTGGCTTTGAAATTGTAAATTTAAAGCAGGAATTTAGCGGCACGTCTGGTCTAGGAAAACGTTTTCTATTTTCATTTTAGAATGTTTTTTTTTATTATTAATTTAAAGATTTTCAAAATATGTTTGGGTTATTTTTATTAAAAGTTTAGTTCAACTAAATTTTTTAACATATATAGTCGTCTAAAAAAATTCAAATTGGTAACTAAATTTGATTAAAATATGAGTGCTGAAAGTACTTGTGAAGGGAATACAAAGCAAACCAAATGTTCTATTTACCTATTATTTTCTATTTTAAATGAAAACATGAAATGTAGAAACTGAGAATAATTATTTTATATGAGTTCATTAATTTTAAAAATAGGAGTTACATTTTTTTTATTTGTTTTCTTTATTTATTAATCTAAAATTGTAATTCAGATTACTATTCACTAAAAGATAAAGATAAAAGTAAATCTTTAACATTTATTTTTTAAATATATAAACTTTATTCATATATATATATATATATATATATATTCAATCAATTATATAATTTGTGAGAATTTAGTAATAACTAACACAATTTTTTAATAAAATATTATTCAAATTAAGAAAATTACATTAATTTTTTGAATCAAATTGGATTAACCTATTAATATTTTTACTTCTATTTCAATTTAATATAATACGTTAAAATTTTATAATTTCTTCATTACATTCTCTTTTATACTTAATTGTTGGCTCATGATTTATTGATAATCAAACCAATATTAGAATGACAAATCTATAGATTGAAGATTTTGAATTAAAGGTTATGATTCCAAATTATAGTGATAGAGAAAATAATTTATTTTTGTGCATCTAAGAAACAGATATATCTTAGATTAAGGTTAACTTGGTTACACACATTCCTCAGAATTATTTTGATCAAATTTAACTCTATTTCCTTTAAAATACATAAACCTAAAAATCACTTTGGAATGCCCATATCTGGAAAGGGCCAATTTTGAACGCAATTACAGAAGAAGGTGAATGATGAATACATGAATTTTCTGCTGCTGTACATGGGGAAATGGGATTACCGAATCTTTATGCACATGTGGATCCGTTGCAAGCGATAGTTAACTCCGAGATGAGCGAAATATCCGTTTGATAATTGCAACTTTAGGGAGGGGAGTAATTTGCTGTGAGATTACTTTACCAATAGTTGTTAATCTGAAAGTAAGTACCACCTTCTTTTCCATCACATTCACCACCACTGACTCCGTCCCTGCTGAAAAATCATAACACGTACCCATTATAATTACATCTCCACAAATTTTACAAACATGTGTTTCACTTTTAAGGTCATTTTTAAGTAAGCTTAGGAAGGTTTTGTTCTTTTGTGTTTGTTGTAGTGAAGAGGCCAAGAGCGGCAAGATGTGATCCAGCACAACAACATAAACTCAGACTACCTAAAAGATCACAGGTAAAAAGTTTAATAGGAATATAATTGAAAAGATAAATTAATCAAACTTTAATTTTGTTAAACATGCATGAATTTTGGGGAAAAGGTCAGAACTTGGAGTGGAGATCTAAGAAGGTAACAAAGTTGCAAAAAGGAAAAAACCAAAAACAGAAGAAATAACAGTTGTTGGTTTAGTACAGATGACAGTTGTTCCCCAGTATTGCAGCCAAAGCACATGCTTCCCTAATCAAATGCGACAACAAAAACAGTAAGGGCCACTGAGCTTTTCCTCTCCCACCACTTATTGGGAGAAGGTAAGGTTGTTAGTAATTCTGAAATTCTCAATCATAGGCAATGCTAAACAGTCAATCATCTGCAACCATGTCATACTAACCCCTCAACAAAAACAGTAAGATCTCTCGTTTTCCTTTCTCTACAGAGCTTCAAAACCAGTCATTGAACAATGTCCAAATTTTGCTATCATGTGTAGCATACTAATCCACACTCAATGTAAAATAGAGAGGCATACCATTCATTTTAGTAATAATGTCAGCCACCCTCTTCTGGCACTTCTCACATTGCATATCTGCGGAAAGAACAACTTCCTGAACCTGTTTACAGCACAAGAACCAAGTTAAAGTCAGAAACAAATTCACGGCCAATTTCAAAACTGAAAACAGAGTAAGGAAGGAGTTTACTGTACCACTGGCAGGGACAAAGACTCCATAGATGCCAGAGTGGTCCTTGTAAGAGGAAAGCGGTTCGAGATTTTTAGACCAACTTTCTGTAGCTCCTTTTTGGAACCATCTTCAAAAGCCATAACAGCATTAATTTAGTAGAGCTATGTATGTCTAGTAACCTTGCAGGCTCAATACCATCCTACATAAAGAGAGAGATAGGCATGTGCAGAAAATGATCTATGACTATGAAAATCACTTTCTACGCTGACAGAACAATTTCACCACTTGGGATGCTTGTTTATGGTGGGCAGAAAATGGAGAAAGCATGATTGAAATGAATGGCAAAGGAAGTGAAAAAGGTAAGGTTTTGAGGCTATTTTAACGGAGATTATTGATTATCCTTTCGCTTATGTGTTGGAGCAGGCCCCACATAGTGCTTGGTTGTTTTTTTCTGCTCACGAATTATTTTTCAAGCTTGCTTAGTATTTATGGTTCAAGCGATGATGGTAGATACTTATTACTCTGGAGAAGATTAGAAGCATTGGATTCATTATCGTAGGTCCTGTGTGTAGCTAAAGTCAAACAATTGTTATCAGCAGGGTCCATTTTAGGGTTAGCATGGATTGAAATTCTAGTATTCTACTTTCTAAAGTCTTTATGATCATACTCAACACGGCAAAAAAGGCTCACAGTGACCGATCTATGTATGAACACACCAATCTTTATCTTCTTCTGTTGATGTTGTAAAGACTTTCTCAAGTTGAAGAATTAGATATATTAAGTGACATTTTTTAGTGAATTCATAAATAGATGATCTTGACATTAATCTTGTTTAAATAAGTTTTTAGATCCTAATATATCTTTGCTTTTTTTTTTTTGTAAATTAAATAACTAATAAATTAAATATTTTAATTTATTTTTCTTTTATTACTTGTCCTTTTTACTGTCTATCTTAATTAAGCTGAACCATGTATTATATTATCTAAAATATTGAAAAATAATATACATTAAATCCTTTTACTATTTATCAGATTTTGAGAAATATTTATTGATGCCCTTACCTATGTTAAAAAACTATATCATCTATTGTTTATGAAGTTCGTGTGTGTGTGTGTTTTTAATGAGTACTTTATTTTGATATTTTTGAGTGAGGAATTTTATTGTTATAAAAATTGTTTTGTTATGTAAAATACTAAGTATTTTAACCACGATAATATAATTTTAAATTTAAAGTATGGATTGATAAAATCAAATTAGTTATATTTTTTTAATATACACTAATCAATTAGTGATTTACTAATGATTTATTAATATAGACTAGAAATTCAATAGCGGCAATTACTATAATTAAGAAATGACTTTTACTCCACCCAATAATTGGGCTCAACTTCCGATTGGATCGTAACCGTTTGCCCAATTAAACGTATATGTCACCCTTATTTAGGTTTGATAATAGAGAAATCCGAATGATTCGTAAAATTATTGTATCAAAGTTAAAAGTATAGTAATACAAGTCTAGGTGTATCGTTTTTTGTTAATCAATTTAACTTGTGAATTAAAACAAGTGTAGTTTGGTTCAGTATTTACACTTTTGAAAATAATAATTATAGTTTAAAATTCTTAAAATAATATTATTTTACTAAATACACATTTATTAAAATTTATGCGATGTGATACAAGGATTCGTGACACAATACTTTATTAGCCTTTAAAACATGACAAATCGGTTTATCATTATGAATATTGTGTTAGGTTACGGGTTATTGTTAAAAAATATTTTTATTTAGATCAAATAATTTTTTTAAAAATACATCTTTTATATTTGATAAGTTTAAGATATTTTTCTTTCTTTTGAACCATAATAAAGTGGTTCGTTAATCTTTTACTAAACCTAGAGATTATAGTTTTCAGAATTTGTACCTTTTGTCAACCTATTTGATTGGATTCGTAAATATCCTGTATTACTTTTCAATTACGATATTTTTAATATTTTTTAAAACCAACATCAACCAGTGCTTTGAAAATATTACTCGTTATTCACCTTTACTTTTCAAATTATAAATTAGTTTAAAGTTGAATTAAATCTAAATTCATTGTAGTACCTAAATTTAATGAAGTGAAACACACATTATAGAAGTCGCGTCCCAATCTAATAGTAAAAAAAAAACTATTTTAATTAATTATTATTTTTAAGATGACTTAATATTTTTTTTTGTAAAATAAGAAAATGTCGATCTCGATTTCTGTGAAAAAAAACTTTATTTTAAATTCTCTAAAATTACAAATAGTTACTTTCTTATCATTTATAGTACGTGATGAACAAAAAGACTAAATTACCATACACCTATGTTCAAGTAAATTCCAATGTATTACCGTAAAAAAAATAAAAATCCTTTAATACATTTCATTTTTCTATCTTAAATTCAATATTTGTTATAAAAATAGAAATTTTAAATAACGCGAAAATGAAATTTAAAGAATTTCTCTTACCAGAACTATAACTAAATAGAAATTTAAAATAGCAGTTTCAAATTTTAAAATAGATGAAAAACACAATTTGTTTATAGGAACCCTGAGTTTAAATTAGTTTATTTTGAAAAATATTGGGTCAGTTAATCAAACTAATTTAGTACTGTTCGTCTTGTAAAATAAATATGGGCGAGAGTTAACATCCATGAATCATTAGACTTTAACCAACATATAATATATTTAATTTTTATTATACTTTTATCATAATTAATTAATATTCATAAATTTAAATATCGTTAATGAAAATATATAAGTTATTATTAAAATATTTAAATAAAACATTAATTATTTTAAATGATTTTTAATTTTATAAAAATAATTCCAAAAATTAACTCATATTTGTTTTTATATTGAAAAATATAAAATGCAGAATGATGATCCATTACATGTTAATATTGGGAAAAACGTCTTATAATAGATAAATATTGAATCAATTCAAAGTCAACAATATACATGTCAATGATGCACAAACATGTTATATCAAAAGTCTAAAAGTCACTCCTTATTTATTGAAAAACAAAAAGAATTTACAAATAACTTGAAACTCGAAAAATATTATATAATATAAATGATGATAGACCTCGATCTTTGAAGCGAATTCGAGAAATATAGGTCAACGTTTGATGAATAGTTAATAGAGATCTAAATTAAAACAATGTTTGATCGAACAATCAAATTAAGATAAACTCTACAAGTCAATAATTGACAAAAGTTGGATGAGTAATTGAGACAAAACACAAACCTTTTTGCATGGAGTCCTACGAATATGATGTTAGAAACTGACTTAGATCTAAATTGTCATAAATTGACATGTTTCACCAACACAAAACCCGTAGTCCGAAAAAAGAAAAGATTAGGAGGTGACAAATAAATGGTTATTCATCATAAGGTTGAAAAACTCTTACAAGTTCAATTCATAAGGTAGGTTGCTTATACAACATGGTTAGCGAGTCATGGTCAAGAAATCTAATGAAAAATGAAGATTGTGTACAAATTACACATATTTAAACGAAACATGCCCGAAAGACTCATACCCTTTATCGAACATAAATCGGTTAGTCGACAAACACATAATTAAAGGTATCAACTATTGAGTCATGATTCCTGCAGAATTAGGAGAAGAGTATTGGAGACAACAAACATTTAATGAAGAGAAAAATAATGAAAACCTTTGTATCGAGCTAGATTTAAATGACGAGGTTCGAGCTTCAACTCAAATATGAGAAGAAGCAAGAAAACATGGAATAACTCGTCGTTATAATACTAAAGTTATGAAAAGGAATTTTGAAGAGGAAAATTAGTATGGAGAGAAATTGGAAATGTGCAAAAGGTGCATGCAAAAGGAAAATTAGCTTCAAATTGTAATGGACCATTTCGAATTTGAGATTCTACACAATAACGTTTATAAGTTACAAGAGTTAAGGGGAAAAATTATTCTCCGAACTTTGAACCACTAGTACAGAAATCACTTTTAACATCGGTCTTTCTACATCGGTTCTTTAAGAACCGATGTAGAAAGTGGATTCAAGACTTTCTACATCGGTTCCCAGATGAACCGATGTAGAAAGTCATTTTATAAAATTAAGAGAACTGTCATTCGAACCCAGTACCTTAGAGTCGGAGGTCGATACTCCAACCACTAAGCTACTAGGATTTCCTGATAATAACTTATACATAAATTATATTTATATACAAATAAAAATGTATATCCATGTAAATATATAAATATAAAATATATAAATATAAAATATATAAATATAAAATATATAAATACAAATACAAATATATTTATATATTTATATGTTGGATGTGAGAGCGCGCTCGAGAGTGAAAGTGTGTGTCAAGTGGGTTTTCAAAATTTGATGTCAAATTTGTGAGCGAGTCTCTTTATATGAATTTGTAATTTAATGATAGAATATAATCTTTATAATTTATTTATAATAATATAACATATAATCTTTATACACTACTAGAAAAATGGTTAATAGTGACCGAAATTAGTGACCGAAAAATTCAGTTTAATATATTTATAAAAAAATTAAAATTATTTTAATTACTGAATTGATATTTTAAATTTATATTAATATTTTGGATAATTTAATAGTTAGATATATATTTTAAGTTTATATTAGTTATTTTTATATAAATTGTAAAGATTAAGTAAATTTATTTTAAAATTTAATTAAACATAATAATATAATATACTATTAACCATATTATTAGTTAGAAATTAATTTTAAGTTTTATCATATTTATTTGAAAAATATTTTTTAAAATTTTAAAATAATTAATTAAAATAAAGAAATTTAATTTAATAAATGTGTTAATATTATTAGTTATTAGAAAATTAAATTTATAATAATAATAATTATATAAAATTATAGAATTAATAAATGTTTCGCTTGAGCGAAAATCCCTCGCTCGAGCGAAACGCCCCTGCACAAAATATGATCGGTCATAATTGCATTCTGATCGATCATAATTGAACGATATCATAGCGGTTCCGGGTTAACCGCTATCTAAGTGAGCTTTTAAAAGCGGTTCTCGTGTAACCGCTATCTAAAATGTCTTTCGCTTGAGCGACAGTCTTCTCGCTCGAGCGAAACGCCCCTGCACAAAATTGACATTCTCGGGTTGTGTTTTGCTTGAGCGACAATCCTATCGCTCGAGCGAAACGCCCCTGCACATATAAAAATATAAATATATTAATATATAAATATATCAATATATAAATATATATAAATATATTAATATATAAATATATCAATATATAAATATATATAAATATATTAATATATAAATATATCAATATATAAATATATATAAATATATATATATATATATACAAATATATCAATATATCAATATTATCCCCTCATATATTAATATATCAATATTATCCCTTCATATATCGATCATCTGAATCGGTCACTAATATCAGTGACCAATGAAATAGTGATCGATTCCAGTTGGTCACTGATTCGGTCACTAATTCGGTCAATGAATTGGTCACTTATTTCGGTCACTATTTTAATTCCTCACATCCAACATATAAAATATATAAATATATTTGTATTTGTATTTATATATTTTATATTTATATATTTTATATTTATATATTTACATGGATATACATTTTTATTTGTATATAAATATAATTCATGTATAAGTTATTATCGAGAAAATCCTAGTAGCTTAGTGGTTGGAGTATCGGTCTCCGACTCTACAGGTACTGGGTTCGAATCTTGCCAATGACAATTCTCTTAATCCGATAATAAATCAAATTTCTAAAAAATATAAATAATATAATAAATAATAAAAATATAATATAAAAGGGAGAGGAGACCTCTAGATCAATAGATAGGGTAATTGGAGAGGGGTTATGAATAAATAAAATATATAAAACCGATGTAGAAAGTGACTTTCCACTTTCTACATCGGTTCCTAAGGAACCGATGTAGAAAGTGTGACTTTCTACATCGGCTGTATCTACATCGGTTCTAGAACCGATGTTAAAAGTCCCTGGGAACCGATGTTAAAAGCCTATTTTGTACTAGTGAACATAACACACTTAAAACTGTATTATAGGTAATTCTTGTTTTTAGTACTATACCTTACTCGAGGATACAAATATAAATTTTCTTTTTGTTATACCTTACTCCGGGATGAGTATAAAAGTAAATTTTACATTGTCTTACTTGGAGATATGAGTATAGCAAATTTTTGTATTATACTTTACTCGATGATATGAGTATAAAAGTAAATTTTATTTTGTCTTACTAAAAAATACGAGTATATAAACACACCTTACTCGAGGTTATATGAATATAAAAACGTACTTTACTCGGGTCACAAAATATAAAAACGCTTACTCAAGAATACGAGTATAAAAACACATTTTATTCGAGGTCACATGAGTATAAAAATGCATCTTATTCAAGGTCACAATAGTATAAAACACCTTATTCATGATAACATGAGCATAAAAATTGCATTCCACTAGGTATAATGAGTATTATGATTTTAGAAGCTTACTCAGAAAATGAGTCACATAAACCTTGCATATCAATACGAATTATATAAAAGTTATATAAAAATCCTGCTTATCTATAATGTTTATGTTGAAAAAAATAGGTGTTTGCAAAAGATAAATTTATACATCAAACATATAATTAAAAAAAGTTAATCATCCACTAACTCTCCATCTCGAACATCTTTTTCAATATTAAATTGGGAACAAATAACAAAGCTTAGCGCATAGCCTTCTCAAAACCATCTTCATAGTTAGTCAACATATCATTCTAGAGATTGTTCAATTGATTTTTATGCTATAACAACTCCTCTACTAGCACAACAATTTGGCCCTTGAGTCCTTTAGTTCGATTCATCTCAACTTGAAGATCATCCTTAGCCTTCATAGCACGGAAAGTGAACATCTCATTTTCTTTAGCCTTAGCCGAACTAACATCTTCATGAGTCTTCAATTGTGAAGTAAGAAGATCCAGTCTTTGTTGAGTTTTAGCCAAAACTTTTTTCAAATCTATCCTCGTGGTCACCCCAATCAAATCTGACATTTGCCTAACATGACGTGTAATTGATATAGAAATGAGCATCATCACCTCGTCTAAATACAAACTACCTTCAATGTGCACATGATTCATGATGTCCACATCAAAATGGGATGGTGTATTATTGATTCGGAGTCTATCAACAGAAAGAGATGTATGCCAAAGCGATTATACCTTGGAATGAGTAGAAAGATGATCCAATCGCCTCATAGAACCATCTTGACCTCTAATGATTACTTTCGAAATGGTAAAAGACAACTTGGATACCGACGAAAGGTGTGAGGTTAGTACTCAGTCATCAAACACTTTCTCCAAATCTACAATGTTATGATCACCAGTTGGAAGAGACTCAACATAAAGAATCACTCATTGACGCTTTGACTTCACAAGTGGATGTTGCCAAACTCGAGGACTAATAAGAGCACGACCAAATTTCTCCCTCATTTTCCTATAATCGAACTTAGGTCTCATTATCTCTAGAAACAAAAGGAAGTAGGTTAGAAAATATTAAATATTTCAACAAAAAAACTAATAACAATATAACTATCTAAGAACATAGACAACTGATATTTAGCCAAAGGGATATTAGTTAATGCACTATAATTTATAGGACGAGGTAAACTTTTTATCAACTCAATATCATCTTTATTGGCAGAAGATAACATATGTTTAGTACGAGACTTAAACTTAAGGGGTGTCTATTGTCAATAAAAAAAACGAGGAGAAATATCTGGATAACAAAGAATACTCTTGGAAAGACTGGAAGGAGAGTATCTTACTTGGAAAAAAACAGATTTGAAATTCTTGAATGACTGGGTAACAATAGTGAAAGTACCATCATATTGAGCACTATTCAATGATATCCAACCAATTTCAGTACCATATTTCACTTTATAAAAAAATAGATAAACTTATTGTTATTAGGCCCAATATTTAGAAGAAAAAAAAGAATTTGAAAGGTCTTTAGAAAAACCCTTATGTTTGGATGAAGTTAAGCAAGACCTATATTTAACTCAGTCAACATTACACACTCAAAATCACTAAAAGGAAGGTTTATATCTAAATCTTTGAACCAACACTTATAAACGAATATAAACTTATCTTCCTCCAAACACTTGACCCAAGGGCAAACAATGTTCTATAACCATCAAATCTAAACATTTTTCAAAAGCAATGTTGATATATTGACAAAAGCTAAGAACAAGACACAAAAGACAAAAATCCAGAGACATACACATCCACAACACCAAAAACCCAAGAATAGTCACAAGAGGTAGCACAAGGGTGTTTATCTTTACGATTACCCTTATTTTTAGAAGGTTTATTACCTCTCTTACGGGAGTTAAAAAGAGTTTTTCTATCCGATAGTGTTCGACTAATTAGGATTGTAAGCATTTTTTCATAAGAAACTTCAATAATATCTATGGTTGGACCCTTCATCTAAGCATTTTCTAATGAAATATAAATAATACGTTCTTCATCTGAACTATTTTCTATTTGTAGAATGATTTGCATTTCTCTTATAGGTATAAACTCAAGTTTACTCTTATCAAAACCAAACATAAGGTGCGGACAAAAGAAATATACCTATTAAATACTGAAAGAAATTGAAAGTAAGAAGATTAAGAAATACAATATTATTAAAGAAAAACGAAAAATGTAAATAACATATATAAATTATCATTTACAAATTTATTAATTTTAAAAATATTTGAGATTATAATAAATTATTAATTTCTATAATAATTACTTTATATGAAAAATATTTTTAAAATAATTCAGATTTCGCCTCTAATACTTATACATATTATTATATTATATTTTAATAAATTTCTATTAACTTCATATTTTAGCATTTAGATTTACATATAAAATTTAAGCTTATTATTGTTATTGAGAATCTCACTTATTTTAGTTACAATTTTATTTGTAACAACAGAATATGAGATTTTTTTATCGTTGAAGGTTAATTTAAAAGTATAATCTTGCTAGACATTTTTCTTTTAATGGATTGAAATTAATCGAAGACTACAAAAATTAACAAATAACGCGGGACATACATCTATCTTTATTTATATTTTATTTATTTTTGTATAAATTTAGCCTATTAAAGAATGTATTATAATAAAAAATATATTAGAGAATTTATTCCTCTCACAATTATCATCTTGTCTAAAGAGTGCCAAAAAAGACGATGATGTTTAACAAATACATGTGTTGTTATTGTTTTGACGAATACATGTAACATGTGTTGTTATTGTTTTATAGTTTGGGCGATAAGTACTAAGTAAGTTAGGAACATTTAAAGGAAACAGAAATTACAACACAAACAAGTGACTGAACAAACCATCGAACACTTCCTAGGTGTCTCCGCCTTCACTTCTCTTCTCTTCTCTTCAATTCACATTCTGAGTTCCCAAAGCATTTCGGTTCTCGCAAAGTACTCATCACAATGGCATCACTCCCCAACACCCTATCATTCTCGTCCTCTCTCTCCACAACCGCCACTCTCCTCCCATGTCGACGCTTCACCGCATTCCCCCGCCGCCACTTCTCCATCCAAGCCAAGATCCGGGAAATCTTCATGCCCGCCCTCAGCTCCACCATGACCGAAGGCAAAATTGTCTCCTGGATCAAATCCGAGGGCGACAAGCTCTCCAAGGGAGACAGTGTCGTCGTCGTCGAATCCGATAAGGCCGACATGGACGTCGAGACCTTCTACGACGGCATCCTCGCCGCCATAGTCGTCGCCGATGGTGAAACCGCCCCCGTCGGAGCCCCCATTGGCCTTCTCGTCGATTCTCCCGAAGAAGTCGCCGAAGCTAAAGCCAAAGCCGCCAAATCTGCTCCTTCTCCTGCCGCTCCAGCAGCTGCTCCAGCCGCCACCCCAGCTGCCGCTGCACCGGCTACTCCTCCACCACCTCCTCCTCCGGAAAAATCAGCTTCCGATGGGCCAAGGAAGACCGTGGCCACGCCTCAGGCTAAGAAGCTCGCGAAGCAGCACAAGGTGGACATTGCGACGGTGGTCGGAACCGGTCCGTTTGGTCGGATTACTCCGGCGGATGTGGAGGCTGCTGCCGGAATCGCTCCGTCGAAGAGCACGGTGAGTCCTACTCCGGCGGCGCCATCTCCTGCACCGAAATATGCTGCTGGTTCTGCTGCACCAGCTCCGATTCCGGGTTCGAGTGTCGTTCCTTTCACTACGATGCAATCTGCGGTGGCGAAGAACATGGTGGAGAGTCTCTCCGTGCCTACGTTCAGGGTTGGGTACCCAGTGACTACAGATGCATTGGATGCTCTTTATGAGAAGGTATGAATTTGCTTACGAGGGGGGGTGTTTGGTTTGGGCGAATTGTGACGATTGAAATAAGAACGTATTTTTTTTTTAACGACGTGTTTGTGTTGTGTTCTTTCTGTTTATTAGGTGAAACCGAAGGGTGTGACTATGACGGTTATTTTGGCTAAGGCTGCTGCAATGGCACTGGTTCAGCACCCTGTTGTCAATGCCACCTGCAAAGACGGGAAGAATTTCGTGTATAACAGTAACATTAACGTTGCTGTTGCTGTGGCGATTGATGGTGGTTTGATCACTCCTGTTCTCCAGGATGCAGATAAGGTGTTTAGCTTCTCTATCCCAAATCAAAATTATTATCTTTCTTGTAAAATTTCGTATGCTATATAGCAAGGGAATTTGGTCTCACCTAGTAAGATAAGGATGTTGTTGTTCCTCTAATTTGATTGGGTACTTGTTTTGGCTGTGGCAGTTGGACTTGTATCTGCTGTCCCAAAAATGGAAGGAGCTCGTGGAAAAAGCTCGCGCAAAGCAATTGCAACCTCATGAGTATAATTCAGGTTTCTATATAGTTATTGTTGATGTCGGCAATTTGTTATCATTATATGGAACTCGAGTGTTTTAATTTTGACTCAAATTTAATCGTGCTTGCTACAGGAACTTTCACACTTTCCAATTTGGGTATGTTTGGAGTTGACAGGTTTGATGCCATACTTCCACCAGGCCAGGTTAGTGTTGATTTCCCGGACTTTGAGGTCTTGATTTTGAGAGATGCTGTGGCTCATTGTGTGGCAATTTTAATTGTTTATTTTGGGGTTAAACTTTACCTTGCCTTTTATTTCCAGGGTGCTATCATGGCTGTTGGAGCATCTAAGCCTACTGTTCTGGCTGATAAAGATGGATTCTTCAGCGTGAAGAATAAAATGCTGGTGAGTTCCTTGTTATAACTACTTTTTTTTGTTTATGCACTTATGCTTAGAACAATGGATCCAGGTGAACAAAAACAATCTTTTATGGAAATTGAACCTTTTTGGCAATGCACCAGCGTCATCGTATGTAGGCAAATAGGCATAAACCGTACATTGTATTTGCATGGTGTTATACTGCATAATGATATTTTTCTGAAAGTTCAATTGTCAGGGTATAGCCTAAATTTTGAACATCTGCATGGAGCTGTGCTACATGATTATATTTTTTCTAAGAGTTAATCAATGGGTTTAAGATTTAATTTTAGATTACTTCTGTTTGGTGTTATGCCTCGAGAATATATTTTTCTTAAGATTTAATTCAATGGGTCGTCTCAAATCTTGACCATAATGTTTTTGTTATTATTTTTAAAAATATATGCTCGATTACTCTCATGATGGAGGGAAACCGAAGTCCATCCTCTGAAGTCTCCATTTCTTTAATTTTGATTGCTTCTACTTTTACCATGTGAAAGGGATTTTTGTCCTTTCAAAGACTTCATCTTTATCTGGCTTGAAATATGTAGTTTTTCTCTCCTGAAGAAAGTGTTATCTAGACTTTCCACTCCTGGTATTGGATTCTTAATCAAACAAGAACCTTGTAGGTAGTATGACTAATTCCTAGTGGCTAAGACGCATCTTGAACTGCTATTTGGCAGAGTTATAGTTTTATTTTCCATCTTTCTCTTGTTAGAAAAACCGAGACAGTGAAAGAGAACTTGAAATTCTAGTGGCTAAGGTGCATCTTGAACTATAATTACAAAAAACTAGATTTGTTATTATTATTTAATGAACCGATTTTTCTTTAAGTTTTGGCCTCTTTTATCACTAAAATTTCTTATGCCGATTAAAATAATCATAAACATTGTTACGGATAGATCCTTTATATGTAGCAGAAGGTAAATTTCTGAATCAGAAATAGTTAGATACAGAAAGTACTAGGTGCTGACTCGGCACTATATTTACTATTGCCAACTGCAACAGTTGCATAACAGATAGAGAAAGATACCATGTTAGAAAAAGCTACCTTTTGTTTCTATTATCAGAGTAGTAGTATTCAAACAAACTATGTTGTTATTTGTTTCCTATATAGACGAAAGTCAAAAGGTCTGAATTAGAAACAGATGTATACAGAAAGTCTTAGGAGCTGACTGATCACTACAAGTATGACGCCAACTGTCAAAAGTTGATAGGCAAGCTACAAAACCAGTTACTAAACTATATTTGTTTCATGACCGGACTTGTGTCTGTTTATTGTCGAAAAAGATGCAGTTCCAACGCCCAATATGAATGAATATCCATGTAAAGGGCGTGCTTATAAATATATATCCACTATAGGCTTTGGCCAACTGTGTATAGCCCTATCTTTTGCCAACTGTGTATAGCCCTATCTTTTGCCTGATTTGAAATAGCCCAAGTAAAACACCATCCTATTGCTAAAGGTTCTCACCCAGTGGGTCAAAGTAGGTATTAATAGAAGTTAAATATCAAATCCTTCAAAGAAATTATCATCTTGTCCCTGTTTATCATTCGTAAAGGTTTGTTTTTTCTCTACTCTCTCTCACATTTCCGTCCTCTCACTAGATGGATACTGTACACAATTTCCTTAAAAGTTTGTTGTGTTTACAGTAGTCACTTTTTTAATTGTTAAATTCTCCCAATTTATTCAAAAGTATAATCTATCATCTGATGTTAGAATATTCCTTTTTTTAAGTTGGGTAGAATTGATTTTGAACCATCAAATGTGATTGGAATTGATTTTAAACTTCCTTTTTCAGGTGAATGTAACTGCTGATCATCGGATAATTTATGGGGCTGACTTGGCTGCCTTCCTCCAGACATTCTCAAAAATCATTGAAAACCCAGAAAGCCTCACATTGTAGTCATTCTGCACTTCCAACATAAAATTATCACCATCACGGGATAACGTCTTGACACTGTTTCTTGAGAAGCTGTTTGGCTCAATGCTGAACAATTTTCTAATTTTTCCCCCTCAACTCTCATCATGTTTTATCTTTTAGGAGCTATCCTGAGGACCTTTTACTAGATTTTTTGACAGGGAGAAACAGCTTTAAAATTATTTATAGTGGGGGATGTTGTAAGACAATTATGTTAAGGATCTACTTGTAAGCAGTGCAGTTTTTAAGGTTCGATTTTTCAATAAAAAATTCTTTTACTTTTTGGCACCGACATTCGTTCTTGATTGTTTTCTTCACCGTCATTACCAAATGAATGTCCCAAATCAGGACATGTGTATTCTCATAATGAATTTCTTTTGCGCCAAGCTTCTGATACATTCCCGGTAATGCTTTCTTTTCCTGCTCATACGCATGCTAATTTTTGGCTCGCGGTTGCTGACTGCATTTTCACACTAAAAAGAAGTAATTTGGTAAGGGAGAAATAGGTGATACGAGTTGTGATGCATTCTTCCTTTCGCTAACTGATATTATTGTCCGACTATATTGATTACCAAATATGTCTTTAATGTGTTTTAGATCAGTTGGTTCAATTAAAGCCACTAATAATACTCACTCAAGTCAACTCAAGCATGTTTTGGGAAAATTTCTACGGGAGAATCTCATAAAATTTGTTTATTAAAATCTCTGGTGTCTTTATTTGTAAGAAATTAATAGAATAGTTTGTTCTAAGGGTAAAAAATAAGTGAAGAAACTTACATTTTTAAAAGATCATTACAAACAAACAAACAAAGTAGAAGAAAATAAAATCAAGAAATGATTTCTTCATAAATATCAAGAAAAATAGTGAAAAAGAAATATAACTGTTGGAAATGTTTTAAATATACTCTTAAGATCATTCTGTATGATTTTTTATTGCAAAATATTATCTGCATGAGTAGTCTTGTCAGATTAATATGGCTTTAAGAACAATACCTAATTCGGTTAATATATGACTCATCACGTAAATATTTATTGTAAGCTATTTATTATTTTAAAGACCTTTTTTATATTAAGAGTGTTTTGACTTAGTTTCCAAAAACATACCGAACCAAACACTACGTTGATTATGGATTATTTTGTTTGACGGGAGTAAAAAATCTCAATTATTTGCATATTCTTTTAGTCAAAGAGAGTGTCACTATTGATCTTAACAGGAAAGGGTTTCTGTCAATTTATAGATTTGGATTGCTTGAGTTCATTAATTGATGTTCAGGAGTTTGGAGTAAAAAGAAGTAAATATGTCAGGTTTAGCAACAATTTTCACTACACACTTAAGACTGGTTTATTTGGATAAATTTCTTTTAAACCATTTATAAAAAAACATAAAAATATACATGGAAATTTTCTGTAGGTTCCGAGTACGAGCTGAATGCCCCTTTGTCAACAATTTTATACGTATTTTTCAGAAATTTTGTTTAAAATCACAGATGAACAATAATGTTCTGAAAATATCAACAAAACCTGCATATCATTTTCGTTATCAATTAATAATGCACTGAGTATCTTGCATATCATACTTGTATTTTCACAGAATTTAAATATCAAGATTTATGTTGTTCAAAACAAATTATACAGAAGTACAAAACTAAAAACCAATAATGCAGCTGAAAATTTCACATGCATTATTTTGTTAGTAATTTAGTGGAAATCTATTCGGTATCTCCCTAAATGGCAGGCAAAAGCCGATGAGTAAAACTAACATAATTACATCTTATAATACAAAAAATCGATGCTTGTGTACTTCGGTTGCTGATATAAACAACAACGGAGTCACGGCATTCAACTTATTAGATTTCCTCTTTATTCTTTTTATAAACTCACCAGTCCAACGTAATATTTCGAGAAAGGTACAGTTGATCAATGTATTCTATAATCGGAAGTGAGGCAGCGATATACCTCCTCATCTTCTTCTCCGCTGATTGTTCTGCAAAAGACATTTATGATATTCTGTAAGATGAACTGGTGCAAGAGAAATCTATCAAAAACAACGATAAAGATCAGGACAACTTGCTAAAGATTAAAATCTTTTGTTTAAAAAACCTTTGCTCACACCGAAATTATGTAAATAAAATTTTCATAAATTTGAAAATAATTAAATAGAATATACAAAGAAGGTAAGTTGTTTATCAAACCCTGAAATGTAAGGAATAGAGGTAAGTTGTTTAAAACATATAGGTTAAGTCACTCCATGAGCTTTTGACTTGTAGACCTTATACTAAGGTCAATTTGGAACAAGGTTTTCTAAAATTTTAATTAGACATTAAGTAATAGTGATTTTAGTTCTCATAGTTTATATTTTGTTTTACACTGTTTTCCCTATTATTAGCCTATTTAGAAATAGGCCATAACTATTCTAACAAAAATTATAAATATAAAATTTTAATAAGACAATGCAGTTTTTGAAAAAGTCAAACCGTACTTGGAAAAAGGCTATGGCAAGTAACCAGAAATACTTGGAACATTGAATTTTTTAAATAAATCATACCTATCTAAACAAAACTTTATTCGACCAATCTTTTCGATCCCTAATATATCTATATGTAAACACATGTTTGGCTATATATACTATTTAATAAGCACACCACCGAACATTATTAAACAATGCAAACTACCTGTTTCATTGAGCTTCATCAAAAGTTGTTCTCTCGTTGGAAGTGTATACATCCCAGCGTACACAGCTGTTCGTACCGCCCATGTGTGATATGGTGCACAAACCTGCCCATAAGCTGTTGAAGCCACTTCTTTTAGAGAAGTATCGCTACAACAGCCAAAAAAAAAAAACTTAGATGTCACGACTACCCACAAGGCACATAAATTAAGAAAGCAAAATGATAGAATTTATGAAGCAGTGGTTCAACGCAGGTGAAACTTAACACAGAAGAAAACGGACTCTTTTCTTTTCCAATATATAACATGGAAATTCGGTCGTTGTATTTTTCTTGTTCTACATAAAAAAAGTTTCTTACTCAGTAGATAAAAGTTGTTCGAATATAGCTCTGACAAGATCAAGACCCTGCCGAACTCTACGCAGATTACGTGAATAGCTTCCGGATGTTTTCACTGTGTCACTGGCGACATCAAGGTTAAGAATATCCGGTAGAGTAGGACATGTCTTTGATGCTTCCACTAGTCCTTCTAGCTGACCATATCAACATCATATATTCATAACGTTAAAACAAGGTTAGAAATAAAAAATTGAGAACCCATAACACACGATGAAGTGAAAATTTTGGAAGGTACAGCAAGGATCGTGTAAACAACAGGCATGGATCAAGTGTCATAAAACCGGGAATATAAGCTTTTTAAATAATATATCTAAGCCCTTCAATGTGTATCGAAGTATACAGAGACCACCCAAAATGAACCTAAAGTAATGTGTACGAGCTAGAACTACTCACACCAAAGTTATATATGAATTGAAATGTTCTTGTTATTAAAATTCATCACATGCTTAAATACATATATGGTCGACTAATTTACTTAACAACAACTGGGTAAAACATCACAATATCCGCCTTTCTAAGTGTATTTCCATCAAGATCGAGGGGGCTACCGAGCCTGTGGTCCACCAATGAATTGTTTGCGAAGAATCCAATATCTCACAAAATTAAAAAAATAAAATAAAATCAAAGATAACATGATAATCACAACACAGGAGGAAAATAAAGATTAAAAAAAAAAACAAATTCTGCAATCAAAACTGTTTGTCGCCAGCGCGCACGAACCACCGTTTTCAGTTTAGTTTCCTTTTGGTCATTTTGAAAATGCACGAAGAACAAAACAAAAACTCACTTGCTTATCCTCAGTGTTCGTTCGCCCAACCATTGTATTGGGATTTCAATTCCTCTAAACATTCATTTAAAAAACAAAATAAAACTACAAGTTTTATTTTGTTTATACTCCTTCCAGGTCAATCAAGTTAGAGAGACACTAAACACATTTTCCAGTAAAAAATAGTACCGTGATTGATCGCATCATGAAAACCAATTCTCCTTAGTTACTCAAAAGTTACAGTTACTGATTAAAAAAAAAAAGTAAATTACACCGACATTCCACGTAATTATATTCAAAATTCACATAATATATGACACCATGTGAATTTCGACGAAAATTAACTAGGAGTGTCGATTAGAGTAATTTGTGAAAAAAAAAAACGATTAAAATTTAAATAGTTACACAATTTGTTATTCACATGTATTTCTTTAATGAAGACCATAGGAGTTAATTATCTATCGTAGTTTCGAAGTTTGAAGGAAAGAAAGTGTGATTTAAGGCAAGAGGCAAAAGGAAAAGGGAGAAAAGAAAAGAAACCTTGGCGACGTATTCCAATTCAGCGAATTTAAAAGCGAGGCCGAGACAACGGAAGAGAACGGAGACGAGAGAGGAGGCCTCGCAGAAAGTGTCCAAGCGAATATCAACGACTTTGTCGTTCTCCTTCATCTTCTTCGACAGTTCCTCAAACGCCTCTGCTATGGCCGAGAGAGGTTCATCTATAACCTCGGACTCGTCCATCTCGGGCATCCTATTCTTCCTTACGAATCGATGGGTCGATTATGAATTCCTTTAATCTCAATGTGTTTGCCGAAGTTTGAAGCGTCAAAAAGAAATGGGAATTGGAAACGGTATGGGTGAAAAGAAAAGGCGCGTGTGGAGTCGACGAGGGAAGATTCGCTACAAATGCGATCTGCCAAAGGCTCCCACATCTAAAATTAAGCGAATCAATTCATTTCCCTTAAACTTCGCGCGCCATTATATGTCGTACTGGTTACGCTTTCTAACTGCCATCAAAAGGCCGGGCTCTTTCTACTGGGCCCAAAGCCCAGCCATTCATTTTTTTATCTTTGCTTTTTTTTTTAACGTTAATTTTGTTTTCAAAATATGACAGTTATTCTAGAAAAATACAAAATAAAAACATTAAAATATTTCTTATACTTTTAAAATAATTTTTTTATATTCCTATTAAATATTATATTTATTATCATATAGAAATATGATAATAAAAAATAACATTATTATTTTGAAGGTTTGTTTCGTCTAAAGTTTAAAATTTAAATACACTTATGGTGTGATGATTTTTTTACGATCAGTCAATCATAAATTATCATTGTTGAATTTTTTAATAATTATTTAAAAATATGTAAAGTAAATTTCTAATTCAATAAAATATAGAAATATTACAAGGTGGTGACATTTAAAAGTTAATATGTTAAACTTGAAGCCAACGACAATCGTAATGGACCAGTTTTTCAAAAGTAAAAGATTTTCTTCTTAAAAAACAGGAAAAACTACCTTCACATCCGTTTTCTTAAAACAACTAAATATCTTGCTGGGAAAAAAAAATCTTACTAACAGAATTCCAGTCTGGCGAAAGGGATTAAATTCTCACCATGTAATAAATCAAAGTTCAAATACATTCCCATACAAAAACATTCCCGAAAGAAGCATAAAAATAATTAAATATACTAAAATTTATATAGAAATTTAAATAGTGTTATCAACCACTAAAAGTTATACCACTAAGAATTGGATCACATAAAAGGGACTAATATTCTTGGAATCAGATGCTTTGTTATTTAAATTCTTAATAGGAAAAACACAATTTTGATTTATAAGTTAAATCACGTTAAGGGTTAACCAAAACGCCCTTATTTGGGTTACAAGGTAAATCATCTTTCAAACATGAGAAACAATTTACATTAACTTAGTTAATCATCCTAGATCGTTTTTTCGTAACGTCCCACACAATTAACAAAAGAAAAAATGTATAATAAGATTCTTTTCCTTTCTTTTCTTTTTTGAAAATGGCTAATTTGATTTTTAATAAAATCCTAACATTTTATCAAGTCAAGTTCAATTTTTAACGATAAATTCCCAACATGATAATTTTTTATTAAATTATTTCCATGTATTCCAACTTGCAACTGAAGCAGCATCCAAAAATCAAACGTTAAAACTAAAAAGGATTCACAAAAAATCAATAACGCAGGCAAATAACTATGTATATAAATACTAAGAAACCCTCGACGGGGAGGAAATGATAAATACAAGGGCAATAATAAGGAGACTAAAGCATACATCCCTTATCCACTTGAGATTTGTCATTATCAAACATTAACTCATAAAACATCGGGTGTAACAAAGACCCATCGAGAGAAAAAGTTGAAAAGAAATAATTTGGCAAATTGGTAAGGAGATCTATTGTTCATCGAACTCGTGCATGTGATCTAAAAGGTAGTTAGCAGCCAATTCCTCATTTTTGTTACAGGCGAAGTAAACCTCCAATACGATTGCACGATCAAAACCCATTGCCTCCAGCTGCAAACAAACATCACAACTCTGATTATTACAAATTTCATACTACAAAAGAGCTAGTTAACATGTCAAATGCTGGTGTTCCTTGGAAAGAGTAAAGGTCTGTTAACACTCGCTGAGAAAGTCATAGATTCATTTTTAAAACAATAACCCTGATTTTCTGAGGAATGGTGCGAAGGCCTAATTTAACTTATGCTTAAAGCCGGCTTAACAAATGTGTAAAGTTAATATTCCAATTATCATTATTCTTGAACGACTCGGTCAACATTTACATCACATCCTAACAAGGAACCACGATATACATAGCCAAGGCACAAGGTAGATCCTAAGTTTTAACTTTAAAATGAAAATGGGCTTCTCGTAGTTGGAAAAGAAAGCATCTATCATTTAATGATCTATATAGACAAGAAGTCAAACTTACACGTTCAATTGCTTGGCGCTCCTCAGGGGTGACAGTCACTGCTTGTGGCATGCCACCAGCCAGCTGCCCCAATATGTTCCTGAAGCATATTAAATCCAAAAATATTAGCAATGGACATGGGCAGACAGGTGAAAATGATAACAAGACCTTCCCCTCCCATCTCCAGACACACAAAACATTAACAAAGAACATCAAAAAGATGATCCCTTACCCTTCACCCCCTTCCACAGGTTCATTTATCAAGCGAAGGAAGTCAGCTTGATGATCTCGAATCAATCTCATAAGATGAGGATTTTGTTTGCCGAGCTCTTGTAGCATAGGCTGTATCAAGGACAACAATCAGGAAACCATAAAGAGAATATAGAATACAGTGAGTGATACACTACTGAGGCAAAGAAGCAAACCTGCAATATTTGTGGATTAGCCTGCACCATAGCTCGCAAGGCTTGGAACTGAAATGCAAATAAACATAATTGAAATATCTATTTAATACATATCAATGAAGCAAGAAATTCATTGGTAAAAGAAGAGAGATAATGAATACTTGTTGACTGTTGCGTAGAAAATCCAATGAGCCAGCACCAGAACCCACATTGGGAAGACCCTGTAACACAAAGTTCAGCATACCACTCAAAGATTTCATTTCCTCTTCAATAATACAAAATGTAATAGATACCTGGGGAAAAAGATCTAAAGGATTAGCATTAGGTCCAGTTGAGGTAACTGGAGCAGGTTGTGCTGCTTGAGGAGCAGCAGGAGGAGGATTTGCAGGTTGAGCACCTAAAGGCGCTTGGGCAACAAGTGGAGCTTCAGCTTGCTCAGGGATACCCTAAATTGATGAATGATATTTGAATTAAAGAAAAGGAAGCAAAACAATATTTCACAAAATAAAAGACACCACCTTCCACCCAAGTAACTACGATCTCAACTAGTAAAAAAAATGCAACTGAAATATATGGCAGATAAAAAGCATTAAGCATAGAATTTAACATCAAAATTTCACATACTGTATACAAATATTCAACAGCTCTCTCAGGATTGTTGTAGGCAGCTCGAAGAGCACGGACAACAGTATCCCTGTCCCAGCTCCCTCCACCCATATCAATAATTTGCTGAATTGTTCCCTCCAAGTTGCTTCCAGCAACCAGATTGGATGCAGCCTGCCCATAGATATCAGATCCCTCCCTGCTTAAAAAGACTCCTTTAGGAACAGAATTTAAAAGAAGAACCAATAAAGTTGAAGAGTTCTGTCTTTCAGGATAGAAATTAACAGCCACTTTAAAATCCACATTCCATACATAGCAGCAAACAAAATACATACACAGCAGTTCCTGAAGAAATAGAAGCAGGAGCAGGAACTGGAGAAGGTGAAGATACAGGTGCAGTAGTAACAGATGCTGGCCTGTCAAATTGAAAGATAGTTTTTAAATAGCATATAATCTCAACATAGTTTCTATAGATATTAATCTAAACAAATAAAAAAATCCCTTGAAGAATCAGTTACTCACAGTGGCTCAGCTGCAGCAGGAGCTTGAGGTGCTGCTGTCACTGGTGTTGTTGAAGTAGGAAGGGCACTAGTCTGTGGTGTCTGCAATGAATACATAATTAATAAATAATGTTTACATAATGCAAAAGAGAGATTTACCACATCCCATTGAAGTTAAAAGCCAAAATGATAGTAATATTACAAATATTTATAACATAGCATAGGAAACTGTTCTCACCTTGGTTGATGGTGCAGTTGAAGTAGTAGATCCTTCACCAGATGTGCTCTTGCTCTAGCATAAATGAATATCATTATGAAACAGAATTAGTTCATAAAGTTTGAACAACAAAATATGCAATTTAATAATGGAATACATTTTGATAAGTTCAAAAACCAATATTGTTTTAAAAAAAGAAACAAACTAAAGAAAACTTTACCTTTGATAGCATAATTACAATGAAACTATTTTCAGCTACTTTATTCTCCTCCAAGGTTGTAGCATCCTTTAGAACTTTCCCTTGATGAATTAGCATTTGCTGTGCAGCAGGATAGACATCTGCACCCTGAACGGTTTCAATACTTTTCTTCACCTCAGAAACCTGAAAAGAAGATCCACATTTACAATAACAGTTTAATTATAGATGTTGAGGAAAACCAGAGACGAAAGTTGAAGAGAATCACAAATTCCACATATTAAAAGATGAAGCACTAACATTTCGTAGATATAGAACTCCACACTTAAGTCATATGAAGCATTTGGAAAATTTAATTGATAAAAACACTTTTCTTCCAATCGCACAAACTGGTTTGATATTCCTAAGAAGTAATGCTCCAAAGATTGTCAATGCGGACTTACTCACTATCATATGCCAAGAATCTCAAACTAACGAAACCAGATTTCCCACTAACAATTAGAATCAAGAGAAGCATCAACAACCACTAATGGCTATATATTTTAATGACATATTAAAATTATATTAATTTTATATATTCACACAAGCAATGAACCGGAAGACAACAGTTACTATAAACAAAGGCTATCTAGCCACAGAATGTTCTGACGAGAATAGCACACTCCATTAGTTCCACCGCATATTCCACACAACAAATCAACCATCACCTCCAAAAAGCCAATTTAATATTTAAGTAATTAAATAAATCCAAATTGCCATAAAAATTCAATTAGAATTCAAATAATCTAAACACAAACCCTAACACTCAATTACAGGGCTCTACAAAGAGGGGAAACTTTTGAGACAATTCAAGAACGGGACGCAATTAGCGACCCAAATAGAAAAGGAAATTGGGAACAAAACCTAATCGAAAAAGTTTGGAGTAACAAACCGTGTCTTGCGGCTTCACTTCGATTTCGAAGTGTGTGCCTTTGAGAGTCTTCACGAAAACCTTCATCTTCGTCACCGCTATCGCAATAAGGCGCCACGAACAGCGTCAGAAGTCACACCGGCACGTTATAGCTCCACCGATCCGAAGACACGAACTACGACGTCGTAGAGAAGGAAGGAACAAGGGAGAAAGTGAGGCAAAGGCGCAACAAATGTGAAGGAAAAACCTCTTTTTTTTTTTCTTAAATAATAAATAATAAATAAAAGGCGATATGATATGATATTACCCGAAAATATGCTAGTTTGTGTTGGCAGTGGTTGAGTGAGAAGTATCACGTGCTTCGGGGAGCGTGATTAGACGCGCGCCTTTGATGAGGTTTAGGTGGCGACGTGGACGGTGGAGAGGAAGTGGCATTAACGTGGAAGAAGGACGGGAGGGAGTGGAGGTGGAGAGAGTTTGCTAGATTTTTGTGTCTGACATGGCGGCCGGTGTGTTGTGCCTCACTCCAGACCTTTTATAAATTTTTGGATCATGTGTCTGGTTTTTTAAGATAAAGATTAAGATACTGTTTTTATTTTTATTAAGATTCAATACTTTATTATTAATTATTCTATATATTCTGTTAGATATTATTTAGATAAAGATTACGATTATTACTTTCTTTATTTTTATTCACATTAAATATTAATTTGTTGGTATTAGTATAACACAACTATCCATTTTCTGATATATATATATATATATATATATATATATATATATATTATAAATTAATACTATTTTTTATACTATGCCTGGACATTTTAAATATTATACTAAGAAATATTTATCGTTTAAAATTATATATTTTTATAGACATTAATATATATATATATATATGCTTTTTTTTTCAAAAAATATAATTTTCTTAATTCATAAAAATATGTATATTTAATTGTTATAATAATTGTGAATGAGTATATATTTCGATGATATATTAATTTATATAATATGATGATCAGTTTATTCAATCTTATGAAATCTTTTTAATTGTAGAATTTTCTTATGATTATGATTATTTTTTTATTATTACGATTTTATAATAACTTATTGCCAAGTATACGTAAATATGCATTATTTATTATTATTATTATTATTATTATTATTATTATTATTATTATTAATTTTTTTGCCATAAATGCCTTCGTTATTAAATAGTTATAAATTATACTTTAAGCGTTTTTGTTTAATTATCATAATCTGTTGCATTATTTTTTATCATAAGACGACTTTTCCTTTTTTTTTTTATTTATATATAGTCTATGTCCTATTTTTTTAGAAATTATTATAATATATTAAAGACTGGATTTCTGACTCAAATTTTTGGTTTATATATTATTAAATATTATATGAGAAAAAATACAATATTTATTTTATAGAGTCAGAAAGGGAATAATGTTACTGTATATTTTTCAAAGTTACAAAACTTTCTAAATAATAATATGATATTTTTATTTTATCTCCTAAAATAGGAAATAAAACAATTTTTTATTTTATTTCCTATAAATCAAATAAACTTTTTTCACTGAAATTTTGCATTTTTTTTCTCGCAATTTCGTCCTGTTATATTCAAATATATTGTTTTAAAAATTGAATATTAAGAATTTGACATTTTAAATATGTTTTCTTTTATATTATACATTAGGAAAGGATAAAAAAATTATTATTATTTTTTTGTATGTCAAAATTTATAAATATTATCATAAAAAGAAAAAATAAATAATTCATAATTATATATTTTAAAAAATATATAAATATATAAATGGAATATAAAAAAATTTACGTCGACATATTTTTTTCTTATATTCAAATGGGATATATGGACTCTTATAACGTGATACTAACTACACTAAACCTACCCTTTAAAAAATTACAGTAAACTGTATAATTTATACTAATTGAATTTCATGATTAATCCATTTAAAGTTATAATGGGGATTTATTTATTTATATTATAATAGTGATAATGATAATATATAATATATTGTTAATAAAGATTTTAATTTTCTGTTCTCAAATGATGTAATGTGTATTATCACCCATCGGAAATGAAAAAATTGCTTCGCACAAAGAAAGTGACATTTTTTCTATATAGCTTAAGCCTAAAAGTTCAAAGTATGGCCAATAAATTACGAGAATTTGATTAATTATGACTTAAGTGAAAATTTAATCTTAATTTTTTTTAATAGGAGGTTATATTTTGAATATAGAATTATTGGATTAGGGCTTGATATTATATTATGATATTCGTTTAATATCTTAATATTTATGATAATAGATTATAATTTTGAACAATATTTTTCAGAATCATCTTCCTAAGGAAGAAGGTTGCACTGTAACCAAACAGTTGGATCAATCGCACGACGAGATCATTTATTTGGAAACCACACAACCCTCAACCTCAAGTCATGGATGTTGAGGCTTTAAATAGGTTAAATGATTGTGTTTTTAGGTTATCATGTGGTTACAGGCGATCCCTTCATTTGAAGGTCATATAGCCCTCGGTCTCAAGTCACGAACGTTGAGACCAAGATATGTCTTACAACGGTATTATAAAAAGACGTTTGACCACTCTATTATACTAATAATTAAAGTACGTTTGAAGTTGCGTTTGTAGATCAAAACCTTACAAGTTTGAGTTATCATGTCAACCTTAAAGGATCATCGTGTAAAGTAGACAAAATCAAAGGGTCATTAAGTAGAGTCTTCTAATATGGAAAAGTCATCATGTAGAATAAACCGATCTTGAAGCGTCATCATGTAGAGTAGACCGACCTCGAAGGGTCATTGTGTAAAGTAGACTAATCTCAAAGGATCATCATGTAGAGTAGCCTCAAAGAGTCATCGTGTAAAGTACACACTGACCTTATAGGGTTATTGAGTAAAGTCATCTGACCTCAAAGGTCATCTTGTCAATATGTCGTCCAACCTTAAAGGTCATCATATCAATATGTCGTTTGATCTTAAAGGGTGTGCAGAGTTGACCGACCTCAAAGGGTCACTATGTAAAGTAGACCGATCTCAAAGTGTCATCTTGTAGAGTCGTCTCATCTCAAAGGGTTATCATGTAGAGTAGATCGACCTTAAATGGTTATTATGTAAAGTCGTATGACCTTAAATGGTCATTGTGTCAGTCAAAACTTTAGGGCAAACCTTATTCATGGAGGCTTGTCACACATCAAAATTCGATTGGTCGTCAGTAACTGTGGCAATGCGAAATCTCATGGTGACAAACCTCGTCTCTTTGATGATGTTGTTGGTCTCTTTAGGGTAAAGCTTTCGTTACTTCTTCCTCTTCTTGAGCCTAGAGTTAGTTTCGGGTTTAGGAGTTGGAGTGTGAATGAGAGTGATGGTTTCGATGGTGATGGAGCTTGTTATTGTAATGAACAATCTATCAATGCAATTGCAGTTATTTTGGAGTGAGATTGGGAGTGGGAAGTGCAGATGTCTCATGGATTTCGTTTGTAACTTATTATCTTCCTGCATAAGTTTATTGTTTCCTCTCATTTTTTTTCTTGGTTTTTTCACTCGAATACTAGGAAACACTTTATTGTTTTTCACTGATGGTACAAAATGTTGTTCAAAAAAATTTAGAACTTTGATTAATTATGATTCAAGTGAAAAACTTGGTTTAACATAACTTTAAACCTCTTTTTAAGGAGTTATTTTACTTTAAATATATAATTATATTTTGTTATTATGTCCATTAAATATCTTGATTCGTTTTATAGTTAATTTGTGATGATAAATCATAATTTTAGACAAAATATTCAAAATTACAACTTTAAGAAAAGAGATTAGATTGTGATTAAAACATTAAATATATTGCATGAAATCGTTTTTTTAAACATATTATATATATATATATATATATATATATATATATAATCCCATAAGTCATCCATAAAATTCATTTATCTATCTTTTATAATTTATTATAAAATCAAAATTTTTAATTTATTATCTATTCCAAAAATATAAAAAAATAGTTCTAATAAAATTCATCCTATTGATTTAATAAAAAATTAACTATTCATCATTTACTTTTTTTAAATCTAGAGACACTATTTAGTTTTACAAATAATTAATAATTTATGAGTTATTTTTCAAAAAGATAGAACGGGTGATTGATCGGAATCTGAAGATTTTTGGTAAAGTTGGGGAAGCTCGAGAGATGTAAGAGCAGGTGGGTAGGATCAGTGAAGGAGAATTAGTTGTGTTGGTTCCAAGGTAGCACCATCACAACTTCTAATTATGCCTATCATGCATCCCCTATGATGCAAGCTCCAAATGTAAAGGTTTTACCATTTTCCCAAAATGAAAGCAAAATATGTTTTAATATTAAATCGAGCTATTTTTTTTGAAGGAATGTTTATAAAGTCTTGTCAACAAAGTTTTTATAGATACTTAAATTTTCTTTTTAATAATCATGGTATGCTTCATTTTGTATATTGAGACAATCTTTGCAAATATATGTTCTTATATATCTTTTTATTTTTGTACATCTTGTTTTTTTTCTTGTTTATCAGCTATAATAATAATAATAAAAGAAAACAAAAATAACAAAAATTAAAAAATAATAAAAATATTTTTTTTAAGGAAGAGGAAAAGGAAAATAAAACTAGGAATAACTCTTTATCTCTTCTGTTAGTCAACATGGCTACTTAGCTTGCAAAGAACCTGAAATCAGGCTAGCTAAAATGATGATTGAGATAAAGTCGGTTATAGCTAAAAAGTTCAATATAAGATTATGAGATGTTGAATCTGGCAGAGCCGGTTAGACATCTCCTCATAAGCTTACATGAACGTGAAAATAAGAGCAGAAAAGTAAAGAAGTCCATGATAAGAATATGAGATGCTAAATCTGGCAAAGTCAATTAGACATCTCATCATAAGTTTATATGAACATAAAAACTATACAAATTTTTAACCTTTAAATTATTATCGCATCTTTTAATAAATACTACTTAAGGCATCCGAGGATGCCTTTAAAAAAAAGCTACTCCATAAAAAAAAAAGTAAAGAGAACTTACTTAAAAGGGGGAAGAGGAGAGGGGGAGATCTGAAATACTTTTTTTATTGATGGAGAAAAATTTACATAAGAGAGGGCTAGAGAGAAGGAGGACAGAAAAGAGAGAGGGAAGTAGTGAGAGAGAGGGGGAAGACTTCTGTATAAGAACTTCTGTCCAGCATAAGGGACTTATGAGGTCCTTATATAGAAAAAGAATGAAGTATGATTTTGTAAAATATCATTAAATAATTGAATATAAAATTGAAAATATGTGATGTGAACATGACCTATGATAAGGGTTAGAGCAAGGGAAACAAAGGAAACTCTTCAACAAGTATTATTGGTTGACCAAATTGTGTTTTAGATTAATCAATTAATGGGCTTTAGTTTGATTTTGTTTTAAGTTGTAATAAGGGCCCAATTGAAAATTTAGTCATCAGCCTTTGGGAGACCAAGGGGTGCATAGCTGATTGACTTTTGGTTGCCACAGTTTCAGATACAATCAGTCATTAAGTAGTTTTAATTCCTAGGTTAATGGATCATTATTAGCCTTTATTTGTTTCCATTAAATAGTTTTCAATTCCTAGATTAATGAGTTATTATTAGTATTTATTTTCTTTTATTGAGTCTTTTGTAATTCGATGGCAACGCTTCTATATCAACTTGGACCATTTTTATCAAAAAACAACAAGTGAAATTTTATTCGAAATATTAGAGTTTATCTCTTTTATCTTAGTGAGAGTGATTCTCCTAAATTCTTGAGTGATTCAAGAACCCTTGGCTGTATCAAAGGACTGTCACATCCTTTGTGTGTTGCCTCCCTTGGGAAGAGTGATTCTTTCCTTCCACCTTCTTTCTAATTCCTAAATTTCTTACAAAGTTATAACCCTAAAGATCCTAAATCACCCCTTGTGTAATTGTGATTCACGTCATTTGGTATTCAGAGCAAGGTTCAAAAGATGGCAGGTGCAGGTGGTGGTACCCCTCCTCTAGGGGATGACAATAGATTATTGATTGATGCCATTACGGCCCAAATGCAAAGAATGTTGATAGAGCATACCGAGGAGTTGTATGAAAGATTGAACCGATTGGAGAATAGAAATTCTGAAGACGAAGAAGAAAGGAGAAATAGGAGAATGAATGATGGAGTAACAAGACCAAGTAGGCTTGAAGGAGTCAAGCTTAACATTCCTCCGTTCAAAGGAAAAAGTGATCCGGAAGCATACTTGGAGTGGGAGATGAAAATAGAGCATGTTTTCTCATGCAACAATTATGAGGAGACCCAAAAGGTGAGACTTGCAACAACTGAATTTTCTGACTATGCTCTTGTTTGGTGGAACAAGCTACAAAAGGAGAGAGATAGAAATGAAGAGTCAATGGTTAATACATGGACTCGAGATGAAAAGGATCATGAGGAAGCGGTATGTGCCTGGCTAGTTATGCAAGAGACTTGAAATTTAAACTCCAAAAACTTACTCAAGGCAACAAAGGGGTTGAGGAGTATTTCAAAGAAATGGACATGCTCATGATTCAAGCAAAGATTGAAGAAGATGAAGAGGTAACTATGGCCCGATTTATTGGTGGTTTGAATATTGATATATGTGATATTGTTGAGTTGCAGGAGTTTGTTGATATGGAGGATTTACTTCATAAAGCAATTCGAGTGGAACAACAACTCAAAAGAAAAGAAATGACTAAGAAGAGTTCTACCAACTTTGGATTGTCAAGTTGGAAGGACAAAGGCAAGAAAGATGGGACTCGTTACTTCTAGTAGTTCCACACCTATTCCTACAAAGACTCATTCAAAATATGAAGAACAACCCTCTAAAAAAGTAGAGATGTGAAATGTTTCAAGTGTCAAGGCCTAGGACACTATGCTTATGAGTGCCCTAACACAAAGACCATGATTCTTAGAGAGGGAGAATATATAAGTGAATCCGAGGTTGAAGAGGGAGAAAAGAGTGAAGACACCGAGGAGGAGGAAGAGATTCCAAAGGGAGATTTATTGATGATTAGGCGATTACTTGATAGTCAATTGAAACCTATGGAAGAAAATCAAAGAACAAATATTTTTCACACTAGATGTTTAATCAATGACAAGGTGTGCATGATGATCATAGATGGAGGTAGTTGCACCAATGTGGCTAGTGCTAGATTAGTATCAAAGCTAAATTTAGCTACCAAACCACATCCTAGGCCATATAAACTCCAATGGCTTAGTAAGGATGGAGAGGTGCAAGTGAGACAACAAGTTGAAGTGGAAATTTCCATTGGAAAATACAATGATAAGATGCTTTGTGATATTATTCCTATGGAAGTCAATCATTTACTTTTGGGAAGACCATGGCAATTTGATAAAAGGGTTAATCATAACTGGGTTCACCAACAAGATTTCTTTCATACACCAAGATAAGAAGATTGTGCTCAAACCTTTGAGTCCACAAGAAGTATGTGAGGCTAAAAAGAAAATGAAAGAAAAACTTCTTCAAGAAAAGAGAAAGAAAGAAAGCGTTAGTGAAACACTTGAGAGGAAAAAGAGTGATCAAAAGAAGAGTGAAACACTTGAAGTGAAACAGAGCTATTTAGCCATAAAAAGTGAGTATAATGTTTGTTCTACATTTAATTTGTCAGACTTATCTCTTTTTAATGTAGATGACGAATCCGATTTGAGGACAAATCCTTTTCAAGAGGGAGAGAATGATGTGAACATGACCTATGATAAGGGCTAGAGCAAGGGAAACAAAGGAAGCTCTTCAACAAGTATTGTTGGTTGACCAAATTGTGTTTTGGATTAATCAATTAATGGGCTTTAGTTTGATTTTGTTTTAAGTTGTAATAAGGGCCCAATTGAAAATTTAGTCATCAGCCTTTGGGAGACCAAGGGGTGCATAGCTGATTGACTTTTGGTTGCCACAGCTTCGGATACAATCAGTCATTAAGTAGTTTTAATTCCTAGGTTAATGGATCATTATTAGCCTTTATTTGTTTCCATTAAATAGTTTTCAATTCCTAGATTAATGAGTTATTATTAGTATTTATTTTCTTTTATTGAGTCTTTTGTAATTCTGATGGCAACGCTTCCATATCAGCTGAACCATTCTTATCAAGAAATAACAAGTGAAATTTTATTCAGAAATATTAGAGTTTATCTCTTTTATCTTAGTGAGAGTGATTCTCCTAAATTCTTGAGTGACTCAAGAACCCTTGGCTGTATCAAAGGACTGTCACATCCTTTGTGTGTTGCCTCCCTTGGGAAGAGTGATTTTTTCCTTCCACCTTCTTTCTAATTCCTAACTTTCTTACAAGGTTCTAACCCTAAAGATCCTAAATCAACCCTTGTGTAATTGTGATTCACGTCATTTGGTATTCGAGCTAGCTTAAGGTTCAAACGATGGCAAATTGATGGTGAAGA